TGAAAGAACTCTGTATTCTATGTCTAGGAGTGTATTTTGCTGGGATGATCATAAATTGTAGCTGAACTGATAAACTACACAAAGGATACTTCTCTGCTCACAAGGCAGGAAGACGTTTCCTTATTTGGTCTGTACCGGTTTGAACTGAGAATCTGCTGACACATGAACCTTTTTCCTCTATATAAGCTGTTGTATGATAAATAAACCTCTGAGTCGATTGGGAAGGCAACCTAAAGCAGTCTCTGTTTTCTTGTTCTCCCAAGCTGCTCCCGAGCTCGTACTAACACGCTGAATGGCATACCTGAGTGTTACTTTAAATAATTAGGAATCTTAGAAGGAAAGGACAGAACTCTGCTTATCGCTCGTGCCTTGGAGGGAAAACCGGGATGGACATTTTTTTCCTTCAGTCTCCTGGGTTCAAAATCTGCTTCACTGTCCAGCCATTCCTGACTATAGCTGATGGATGATGTGACTCAAATCAACTCCTTCACTTCTAGTCACTAATCAAAGTCCACTTTAAAGCCATTTATCTTCACATTCAGCTGAATTAGTTCCATATTTAATATGCCACCACTCACAGTATTTCATGATGTCGCCAGAAATTTGTCATCATCTCCTAACCATGCATCACAGTTACTTTCGGATGTGGCCACTAAGGAAAGGACTTGTTCCATAACTCTCCTGCATCATAGTTTCCCCCCACAAAGTTTCATGGGTGAAAAATGCTGTCACTTCATATTTTCTCTAATAGCTCTCATTTAAACGAAATCGTTCACATCTGATAATGACTCAAACTGCACGCTTGAAATGAAACGTCCCAGTGAGTTAAATATGATGCACTTAATCTACTTTGTTTTCTGCAAATGGAAACGTGGACACTGACGTGCACACATGCAAATACCTGCACATTCTAGGATTCCTTTTGTTTAAACTTGTTAATATGACAGCTTCTTTTGAATGCATTTTAAATATCCAATCACAAGGCACGTGACCTCTTTGATAAGTTCAACTTTCTCTTCACGAGTGGACAAGAAAGCAACAGTACCTGGATAATCAGATACACGTAAGTGCTCTACTTGCACCTGCTTATGAAATAGTAAATCAACGATTTACCTGCCCAGCTGCATCCTGGCCCACAAAGCGTAAGAAATAGTGCCACGAGCGTCCTGCCTGTGGCTAAAGCCATGGTGAGTGTGGCGAACTACTGCTGTGGTGCGACGCACCAGCTGGATGCAGAGGGCTGGGACACATCAGCCCTCTTCCCTCCCATCTGCCGATGGGAATGCTGCACTTCGCCGTGAACTGCCTCTCGTTTACATCGGTAAACCTGCACACAAACACACTATTAATGCCTCATTAGTCGTTTGTGATTTGAAACAAGTATTTCGAGGCTGCTTTTCAAATCATAAAATGTTATGAAGAGGAAAACTAACTAACTAACTAACTAACTAACAAAAAAACAAAACAAAACATACAGACTGAGGCCAGAGTGCTGATTACAAACATGGAGACTTAGATATTTTTTTTCTAAATTCCATGAAGTTAAGCTAATCATTAATTTCTGGATAAAATACTAATATGAAAGAGAGAAAATGAGAAAATGTCTCCCTCTGGAGGTAACCAGGATGATTGCATCCAAAGCTTTAAGGCTGGAAGCAGGTATAAAGATGAAACAAATGGGAGGACTTGAGAAGTACTAGATTATAACAGACCTACGGATCAGTAATCTATTAAAAGAAATAAAATGAAAAAAATAAAGCCAATATCTACCTTTTAAACCTCTATGATATTCTCAAGTTTCGTCTATACGACTATCGGTATTATTCTTCCAGCCCACCTGATCCACCCCAGGATTAAACCTTTCCATGACACCATCCGTGCACCAGGTGTGAGAGAACAGAATCGTGGGCCAAGTAAAATTCCATCACATGATGATCTAATCAGTGGAGACAAAGTTCATAATTACATCAATTTTCCGAAGAATTAATTTAACCACTAGATGGAGCAGACTGTTGTTGTCAATAAAAGGAGGCATTGAGGAGAAAACTGGAACTAATTGTTGAGTATTGTAAACACTGACCTAGCAATACTATGGCTTTTATCCACTGTTGTTTTGGATATAATCTGAACCGTTTGCCTTTCAAAAAAAAAAAAAAAAAGGTGTGATGTCATGTTACAGTAAACTGATTTATATCCATTTTTCTCTATAACTGAACTATTAATATATATTGTTTATTTCTTTTCCAATGTGCCCACCACACTGAAGTCAGGAAGATTTTCTACTCATTTTTTAATCAGAGAGCTTCTCTGATTTCTTAGAAATCTTCTGGGTTCTGCTGTAGATTCCCTCGACCTTTAATGTTATAACAGCAAATGTCCCGCACGGCCTGCGACAATATGGTAGTAAAACTGACTGAACTGACAGTTATTTTAATGAGTGTCTCCATTGGTATTGTCATGAAAACATCTCTATGTCCATCTGTACCAGTGTGGGCCCAGCCAACAGTTTTCCAACAGTTCCCTCTGCTGGCTAAAGCTCATATCACTACTGGAAAACAATGTCAATCATTTGCATGTGACTTAATTTATGAATGACTTTGATGTCTTTTACATCAAAGTTATTCATCCAGAACCTTTCTAACACGGGGTTGGACCCCCTCCCCCGAGGAAAACACAAGAGAACTAAAGGGTTTAAGCCAGGGGCGCGGTTTTTAACCACACTTTGATAATAGGAAGCAGTGGCACAAAAATTCAGATTAAAAAAAATAAGATTGAAAATTGAATAATAACAAGAAGCAGCTTTGATGTCTGCAGCGCTGCTGGCTTTGGATCATTTGCACAGATTAAATTGGTTTTTTTTTCAGTATTAGTTACTTTATTACTCATCTCTCTATCTCTCTCATACATGAGTCAGTGCAAACCGCAATACATAATTTAAACAAAAGATACTTACAGACTGTCACTCATTCACACCAGAGAGAGAGAGACTGTGGTAGAAATGTGTTCTCTCTTGTTATACACACGCCTGAGGCTGTTTATGCCAGGAACTTCCGTAATCGGTGAAGAGGCAAGTTTTTGTTTGTTTATGATACAATACTGGGCCATCTCACCAGATTTATTGTATCCACAGAGACTCACTGTCTAGTAGTTATATCAGTAGGTGTTAAAGTATAGTGTGTGTCCCAGTTCTGTCATTATTGTGTCTTTACTTTGTTGATCATTTTTGTCATTTGTCAAGTTTGTTGCATTATGCTCTAAACTGAATTCTTTCATATCTAACTTTATTTAAAACACAATTGATTTGTGTTTTATTACAGAATAAAGGATGGCATGTTGGCTGGTGTGTCTTCTTTTGGAATCTTTATTTTTCTTTGTACAAAGATGATAAATTCAGGGATTGTTCATTTCAGTCTGCTGTTGTCTGTGTTTTCCATCATTTTTTTTGAAGGTGCTCATAGATACTCCCTAAAACTGGGTGTTGTAGTCATCTTTTATACCCTGTGTAAACCAGTTTAGACTATGATGCTGTTTTCTCAGTTTATAACACAGCATATGTGTATTTGTTTGGAATCCATTCTTAGCAGAATATTTGACAGAATATTGAGTGCTGAGCACTGCTCCTGGGATGTTAAGGACCTGAAGCATCACAATGCTGTGACAGGAACTCCTGCTGCTGCCTTTGCAACCAGAAAACAGTGGCATTCCTGAAGAAACTCACAGCTCTGAAGTTTTGGTTTCATGCTGTGAGGAACACTATATGAGCGAGCAGATGTAGAGCTTCTCTGCAGTTGTTTGCAGACACATCTGAACACTGCATCAAAACAAAGGTTTTCACACAGTTGCGCTCTTGGTATCTTTACAGTGATACCCATTACTACTGAATGATAACTAGTTTTCAAATCTAAAAAGAGGAGCCCAAAGAAACCTACCGCCTTATCTTTTCTCATACCAAATACATATATACTCATATTCCACTTTATTAGGTACACCTTGTTAGTACTGGCTTGGACCCTCTTTTTTGCCGTAATTCTTCCTGACATAGATCCAACAAGCTGCTAAAAACATTCCTCTAAGATTTAGGTCCATATTGGCATGCTAGCATCACACAGTTACAGATTTGTCGGCTCCATGCCCCAATCTACCACCTCTCAAAAACGTGCTATTGGATTGAGATCTTGTCACTGTGGAGGTCACTTAAGTATAGTGAAATCACTGTCATGCTCAAGAAACAAGTTTAAGGTGAGTTGAGCTTTGTAATGTGGTCTATTGTCGTACTGGAAGCAGCCATCAGATGGTGGGTACACTGTGGCCATAAAGAGATGGACATGGTCAGCAGCAATACTCAGGTAGGCTGTGGAGATTAAGCAATGCTCTTGCGGTACTCAATGGCCCAAAAAGCTAAATATCACAGAGACATTACACCATCACCTGAACCTCTGATAGAGGGCAGGACAGAGCCATGCTTTTATCGCGTTTACGTCAAAGGAGCAGCACCTAATAAAGTGGCAGGTGAGTGTGCATACTGGAGTAGATTTGAAGCTGGTGGTAGGTAAGTCAACATGTTTCTGTTGTTTGCGGCTATCCTGACGCCTCTTCAGCAGGAACTGTTGGCCAAAGGTCAGAAAAGGACAATGTTCACCTCACCTGTTCGTCATGTTGACCCACAGCTATACTAAAGGGATCGGGGAGTTGCAGTATAATGTGGGCGTGGCAGCAAACCGTTTGTAGCGTGCAAAGTTTATTGTAACAAGATCATCTTTTTATTTCAAAGTAAAATGCATGAAGTACAGTAGGTCTAGATTCATGGCTAAGCGTTTTTATTAAAAATGTCTCTCAAACAGCGGTAGGATTTTCATCCGAATCCCAAGCCTGGTCTGTGTTTTTTTGTTTTGTTTTGTCCCCCCGCAATTAGAGCATCATCTCTCTGTAGTTGAAGCCCACCCCCGCCCTTCCTGCGCAACGAGCAGAGTAAAACCAAGAGCCAGCTCAGAGATGTGCGATAGACCCAGCAGCCACGGAGTAGGAGGAAATGTTAACTGGAGCCTGTGATTAATTCATTTTTGGGTTTTGGATTTTTTGTTTGTTTTCTTTCTTTCGTTTAAAGAAACGCACGTAAAGTATTCATGTTGCCCGGATAGAAAGCGATTTTTGGGTCCACCAGCCCGCAAAGAAAGGCTCACCAAGACATCATTAAACGCAGATTGCACCAAATCGATTCAAGTTTTATCTGTGTGGAGTAAAATTACTCCCGCCCCCACCAGACTGGACTAATGATGGCTTTAATGGTTCACCTGAAGACGGTCGCTCACCTGCGAGGGAAAGGTGACAAGATCGCCAAAGTTACATTCAGGGGTAAGGATATATATGTATATTTTTTTAATTATTCTTTGAAGCCGTGTGTGTTTGGAAACCGGATCGCGCTGTGTGCTGTGCCCTGATTTGCGTTTCGTTACACAATGTGATGAGAGCCAGTCAGCCGCTGCATAAAAAAGTTGGAAGAGCGAGAAAAAGAGTTTAGTTGCAGGCAAAACAGAATAACTGGTCTATATCACAAAGAGAGATCGAGTATCCAAGTCTTACGTTTTATTTCATTATGTTCGTTAATATGGTAAAAAACTGATAAATTAAATTCTGTCTTTTTTCCTTTATATGTTATATACATCATGTAAAGTACTACAAAAATTAATACCATTTCTGCCAAGAATGGTGAATGTAAATTCAAAGCTTTTATCTCTTCTATTTTTAAGTGTATCATAAAAGAGGAAAAAACACCAATCTTGGCATCCCTGAAACATCGATTTCCCATCACTGATTTTCAGTTATTTTATTTACTTTCTTTCAACTTACTAGAACAATGTGTTTAAGAGGCCAGTTTAGACTAAGCTGATGGCATCGATTACTAAAGATGTGGCTAAAGATGGAGCTTTGGGAATGTTCTGTGTAAGATCTTTGGAGTACTAACCAATTCACTCAAATCTAAGAGTCAGAATTGTAGCCACGACCTTGCACTCTCTCTCAGAGGAGATGAGAAGACGAAGTGAGTTGTGGAAAAAAGGGTTTAGTTGATTTATTCATGTGTTTCACGTTCTTATCGTTTGCTTTCCGTGTGCTGTGTGTGTGAGCAAAATAATGTGAAAGAAACTGAGACAGGAAGGAGGAGCGGTGTGTTTTTCAGCACCCTGGACAGTGATCAGTCCACTGACAGGTGCTCAGTCCCTGTTGAAATCAATGCAGCATCACAATTGGAGAAGATGTTACAAGTGCACTGCTGCCTCCTTTCCTCTTGGTGTGTGTGTGTGTGTGTGTGTGTGTGTGTGTGTGTGTTTGTGTGTGTGTGTGTGTGTGTGTGTGTGTATGTTGGGGGAAAAAAAGGATAACTTCTAGTGCAGTGGTCTGTGCTGCAGTGATTGCACCAGGGTCTGGATATTCTATGAACCGTGCCTTCACAGTCAGTGACTGGATCGTCCGCTCTTTCCTCAAAAGTCCATCTGTCAGCAGAGTAGCTCCACTTCATTCATGTATAATGTTTTAAAAATTTCAAGAAAATTTTGTGTGTTTCTGTATCTATACCCAATACAGTCCATGACCTGAATAGGAATTTCCTTTGTGATCCTCTACCATGAGTTTGTTGAAGTAAACAGATATGAAGGAATAGCAGAGTCACAGGAAAGGTGGCTGCACGTATGGTTGAACATCAAGCCCAACATTTAGTGAATCAGTTTCATCCAAAAGCTGAATAATTGCATATTCAAAATTATCCAGTTAAAGAGTTCAAGCATATTTATTAATAGCCACTCAGCTGCTGGAGGGGAAATTTCATTTCCATTTTTAAATCTTGTCATTTTATCTCAGACTCACAATTTCTTCTCCATTCTTCCAGCGCATTTAAGTTTAATTATTCATTTATTTGAGCTAAATAATAATCTTTTAAATACTTCCCAAATTTGTGTGTTAATCACAGTGTCTTAATCAGCCTTGTATCCCCACATATCCTCCGGCGCCGTGGGTTTTTGGTTTAGGCTGTCAGTGGAGTTTCCTGAGCACTTAGAGTTTAAAACGTTTCCTGTCTGGAGAGGAAGCGGTCTGCCAGGGAAATAAGTGCTTTGGTGCTTTGTGTAGCTGTGTATCAGACCTGCACTAAGTTCAGGAGGAGTTTGGGGCCATTTTTAATTACAGAACAGCTTCAGTTTATCTCTCTTTTTAGGGTGTCTGGTGTAAGAAACTCATTCAGTCATTATTCTGGCATTTCTTTGTACCCCAGCTTTCTGCCTTGTTATCTAGCATCTATAAGTGTATAAGTATGAATATGTAAAATATCAGATGCATTTTTGTCAACCCTTTGCTGCTTACAGAAATCAGCAATTACTGACCAAAGGTCTTTTAATGTCTCTATTTTTGAGGTATTTTGTTATCATCAGATGCTTAATTTTTGTAAGTCAGAAGAGTCCTATAACCACCCCGAAGCTGAATCAACATGATATCTCTGGAAGGGGGGAAAGGTGTAATAAAAAAGCTTCAAGCCAGTGCAATAAAGACAGCTAATAAAAATGGATTAAATGCGACGTGATGTTCTATCTCTGATCTAACTTTATCTGGTTGTTATTATTTGCTGTCAGAAACAATAAATCAAGTCAAGTCCCTTCAAAGGAGGGTCTTCAAAATGTAATTGATTTCCCGACAAGTTGTTGATGAATTCTGGTTGTGTGATCGGCAGCTCTTGGCTTTATCAGAGAGCTGCACTTCGGCTGTTGTTGCTCCTCTTCTGAGTAGCCTGCAGCGATACAGAGCCATACTCTATGCAAGAATTAATGAAACCTTATCTCTGTGCTTTACAATATTAATTTTCAGTTCATTCACCCAGGCTGTCTTCCTCTACGTTGGCACTTATCAAACTTCTCTTTAACCTCTAGGCACTTAACACAGCTGCTTAGACAGTTTGTTTGTTCTTTTTATTACTCAGAGTCTTCCTGATTCACAGGACAGGAACAGAGCTTGGGGCAATTTCTTGTATCCTGCGGATATTTTTAAAATTCCTTTTCTCTGTGTAGCACTTTATTCTGCAAACAGACACTTGGTATGTTTACTTTTTAAATTAGGGCACCTATTCAGCTTGTAATACCACTTACTGCCCCCTAATGCACCAGGAAATAAGGTAAAATTAACTGCAGAGATTAAAATACATAAAAATAAACAAATGTTTCCATGTTTCTACTCAACACTCTAGTTTTCTGCTTTAACCACATTCTTGCAAAAACTTAAGAAAGCCTTAAATGCACCTCTGCACCCTCTTCATTCATGTGGGTTTCAGACTTACACAGTGTTCTCCATCTTTCTCTCTTTTAATTTTCATCTATCTGCTTGAGATAACAAAAAATGACTCTCTGTTCCTTTTCTTTCTTTCACCTCAGGTCTTTCATAGCAGCTCTTTAACTCTTTATCTTTGACTGTTTCATCAAGGCCAAAAGCCACACCGATTAGCAGAATGTTGTTTTAGTTTGGTGTGGAGCACCTTACATAAGTGTCACATGGTCTGCTTTTCTAAGCCCACATCTAGTTGGATGAAAACACTGGTATGACAGCAGTGCCGCTCTTTTCAATAATGTAGGAGGAATATTGTCTCTCTCCCTCTCTGACACTGAAGTGGTGTTTATTTTCTGAAATAAAATTCAAAGGTTTGGGGGATTTATAAGGTTCAAGAGAGTGTAGGAGTGAAGGCAAAGAGAGACACGAACACTTGGAAGTGGGATTATAAACTAGAGTCATATTTGTGCATTGGTAAAATTATAACGATAAGCTTACGTCAAGCATGACATCTTTAAAACCTGAAGGTTTTGTGCTTTTGAATGTGTGAAAAGATACTTTCTGCACTTATAATATCTAAAATATCTGAGCCTGGCACAATGTATTTACTCCATTTACCCTCATTATTACAGCCAAACTGACAGGGACTGTAATTAACATTGTAGGTGTCTGTATGCGTTTGTGTGTCTCCCTGTGTATGGCAGCTGATGTGCCCACAAGCACACAAATAGACATCAACAGAGCTTCATAAAGGCTCAGATGCACAAAGCAAACTATCAGAACAAAGCAGAATGCACACTGTGGTGCAGGACCATTCATAAGCATCACAAAGCAACCAGGTGAGCACAACAACCAGGACGCATGAGTGAGTCAGGTTACTGTTCAATGAAAGGTTCCTTTCCCAATATAAACTCTGAGTAGACAACAGCTTTCATTGGCTGACACACATACTTTTAGCTCTAATAATGGAAAAATATGATTTTAATTTATATTTTTTACATTCTTCTGCAGTCTCTCTGTGTCGCACAGTGAGTCACACCGTAGTCATTTAATTGTCTGCATTTCTTTTCTGCCTCTGGCGACTCCACACAGCTGTTTCATATTTACATTTGTCAGGTACTTAAAGTATCATTTGTCTTTTCGCAGCTCTTTATGAGATGAGTAGGCTGATTTTATGTCACCCCATTTTCACTTTAATAAACGTCTCAGTGAACTGATGGATTCAGGTTGCTAACCTGCATCGGACAAGGCCAAGTGCACCCTTATTGAATTAAGTCACTTGTAGAACCACCTTAAGCAATTATAACTTGAAATTATTTTTTTCTGTATGACTATCAGTCTTTCACATTGTTGAGAAGGAATGTTTTCCCACTTTTCTTTACAATGCTGCTTCAGTTTGGATTTGTTTATGCAGAGGTCTCCTAAGGTCCAGGTTTAGATTATATCTTGATTATTTTCTTTTTCAGCCATTCTGCTGTAGATTTGCTGCTGGATCATTGTCCTGTTGCATCTCCAACACAGGAAACATATTTAAAACATTTCACTCTAGAATACTTTGGTATACAGGGGAGTTTATGGTCAACGCCAAGTCCTGTGGCTACAAAAAAAAAACAAAAAAACCACATCACAGTGCACAGAGCTTCAATAATCACTTACCTGCTTGCTACTTTGGATAAAGTCTTAAAACTAAATTGTTTCATAATTAATGCAGCTCTAAGTAAACACCAACTGACTGCTCTTTCTCGTGCTTTGTACGTGCCCCATGCAGTGAGCCCACCCACTCAAAGTGGGATGACAGCAGGCACAATGGTGTTACTGAACCAGGTTTTAATGACTAAATTCCTCCTTATTTTTCAGGTCTGTCCTTCTACAGTCGTGTAGCAGAGAACTGTGAGGAGGTGGCACACTTTAATGAGGTCAGTATCTTTATTTGATTTGTCATACAATAACCTGTGTCAATGGTGACCAATCAGCAATTATTAAGAATCCAGAATTGGCTGATTTCACTGGCTGCAGGTTCTGTTATTGAATTGAGGTGGAAAAGGTGAAAAAAGACACATTGCTGGTAATCACTGAAATGATCACTGTAAGATTTTACATTTACAGGAATAAGGCTCTGTGTTGTTTATTAGTCATTTGATGTTAATATCTTTAAAAACAGTTTTATCCAAAACATTGACAGCTGTTTAACAAAATCTTTATTTAATTCAAATACATTCTGGCACACTTTAAGGATGCTAGCCTTTACTTGAATTAAGTGATTCAGCTGAGTTATTCTCACTGTATTCAGTACAAGTGTACAAGCCTGCTGTGTTCGTGAGTAAGAATGTTATCCCCCAAAAGATGCCAAATGAATGTCGGGTGACATAGATAGAAATTTTGCCCTTTTTTGTACTTTGAAAATCCTGGTGTAGAGAAAAGATGGACAAAGTGCTTGACTCTATACCAGCATACAGAGTGCAAATAAAAGGTGAATACAACGTGAAGCAATGTACATGCACAGAGTGTAAGAAACTGCTCTAAAAATAGAGGATCTATTGTTCAGTAATACCACTTCCTTTAAGAATGCAGTTGAATACTGTAAATGGAGATGCCTCAGAGGAAAACTGTTAGCAATACAAATGTACATCAAAAAGTACAGTTATAAGAAAGAAATGAAGGCCAAGGGATCAAGAGCGAAGTGCAGTAGGAAATCCACACAGAGAAAAATCCAAAGAGACAGAACAGAGGTAGGGGATATTTTGTGTGTTTCTGTATCTATACCCAATACAGTCCATGACCTGAATAGGAATTTCCTTTGTGATCCTCTACCATGAGTGTGTTGAAGTAAACAGATATGAAGGAATAGCAGAGTCACAGGAAAGGTGGCTGCACATATGGTTGAACATCAAGCCCAACATTTAGTGAATCAGTTTCATCCAAAAGCTGAATAATTGCATATTCAAAAGTATCCAGTTAAAGAGTTCAAGCATATTTATTAATAGCCACTCAGCTGCTGGAGGGGAAATTTCATTCACTCTGTAAATACTGAATACTGTGCAAAAGTCTTGAGCCACCCTTCGCTTGTTTATATTTTGCTAGGACAATGGCAAAAGGGTGCAGCGATTTATTGAGCAAACACACAAAATACACTACTATGGTCTGTCCTTCAAGCTCGGGTCCTCTACTAGAGGGCTCTGCAGGTACTTGGTGGTTGCAGCTTTTCTAGCGACCTCTTCATGGTTCCCATTTGCCTGTGGGAACCCCAGGTACTTGTAGCTGTCCTCTATGTCTGCAATGTTGCCTTCTGGTAGTTCAATCCCCTCAGTTCTGACTAAATTCCCTCTTTTTGTTATCATCCGACAACATTTCTCCAGTCCGAATGACATTCCAATACCATTACTGAATATCCTGGTGGTGTGGATCAGTGAATCGATGTCTCGTTCACTCTTGACATACAGCTTGATGTCATTCATGCACAGGCGGTGGCTGACAACTGCTCCCTCATTCTGTAGTCGGTATCCGTAAGGCTTATATAGAAATGGGCCACCAAGACCCCACTGTTGTAATTTCTTAATGCTCATGCAGACACTTAGATAACTCCCAGCATGCCAATGCTAAGCTCTAGGCTGAAGGATCTTGCTTTAACACCTCATTACTGTTCTGATTCAAAAATTAGCAACCATTCGTGAGTGGCTCTTCCCTGCACATGGCTGACATCTCACCAAGTGGCTTTTAATCATCCTCTTCTGTTCGCTTATGGTCTATCAAGGTTAGAGAGGCGAGGCAGTGTTGAACAGTGTTGCAATTAAACTGGGCATTTCATGCTCCACTGCTTTAGTTAGGAAAAAGGTGGTTCCTTAAAAAGCCCTTCTTTCCGACTTAGAGGTTTCTTTCATTTGTAAAAGAAGGTTTCACTGTTTTACTTTAAATCTAGTAAATTGCATTATTCTGAGCAGCTGCATTGCTCTGAGCGTCTCTTTGAAAACCCAAAGGATTTACCTGCATCCCTCGGGTGGTGGTTGGTAAGTCTCTGATTTTGGTTGCTTTGAAATTCTGGGAAATATTCCCAATACTATTTCTGCAAGCTTCCATCACACTGTGAAACCAGCATTATGATGAATTCAAATGTAGACTCGTGTAAAGGAGCAGAGAGGGGAAATAAGAAAGAAATGAAGGCCAAGGGATCAAGAGCGAAGTGCAGTAGGAAATCCACACAGAGCAGAAGCCAAAGAGACAGAACAGAGGTAGGGGATAAGGAATGAAAAATGAAAAACAAACAGGAAAGCACTCTCAAATATATACAGTACCTTCCCAGAGGAGGTTTTACATCAGGCTTTCTGTTTTTTTCTCATTTTAAGCTGCTGGTTTTAACAGAGAAAAATGTTCTTCGTTTGATGGCTCACAAGCAGAGTGCTGCTTCCTTCCCTGATAACAGGGGCTTTTGTTTTCAGTCTAATCAGGAAAATGCTGAAATGACTGTACAAACTTAGCCTAGTCACACAGGCACACCCACAAACACACACAGACTCACACACACACAATCACAGACACGCGCTTTATGTGTACAGTCCCTGCAGAGGCAGCATTGTTTTTTGTATCATGATGTAAGATTAAAAAGAAGAAAACCAGACAAATGAATCCCAAAATATCTTTGACTCTGCATATAACTGGTATCAACTAAGTGGTGAGGCTGAAATGTGATTTCTTATGACAACCTCTCCCAATTCTCACATCTCAGTCTCGGAGTACTGGGGAGGTAGTTAGTGTCACTCAGCATCAATAACACGATCAAGCTTTCTATGGGATGAATTGCGCTTACAGTAGTTTCCGAGCCTGTGTGAATGTGTGCCTGTGTGAAAATGTTGCAGTGTTGTGTGCTGCTGGTGGCCAGGCGTACATTTTTCCCCCAGCCCCTGGGTCCTCATCACATCCCCATCGTTGTCTTCTTCAACCTTAGCAGTAAAACATTTGCATGGCTCAGTAGACTCTGTCCAGCCCCTGGAGTTAAGGGCCATTAGCATAGAGCTGTGTGGCTTGATGCCGGTCCATGCATAATGATAGATGCCTTTGAACTAGTATTCGGATAGACTGGATGGGGAATTCATTATTCATTATATGGTGGGGCTTTTAGCTGCAGAACACCAGGGCTTCCCCCTGACTAGTTAGACACAAGCAGAGCAAAGAACAGAGAGTCCTGCATGCACTGCACATCGCCACAGAGTTCAGTTTTGGCCCTGCAGATATAACAATTTTAAGTTTTCAAACAAGATGTCAAGAGATTTGAACCATGCACTATAGATAGCATACAAATAACAGAAGGGCATTAGAAGATTCATTTTGCAACAGCTTCCAGTAATTTCCTATGATTCTAAGTGTTTTTTCAGAATTTGTACTTACTGTCTGTGTTTTTTCTGTATTTTCCTTACTGATAAAATCCCAGAATGACCCCATAGTATTCACACTTTCTACAAACTACACTTAAAGAATGGCAGCAACCGCTGACGCCGTTCTTGCGGATGACTGTGTTGAAGCCTCGAGTTTGGCAGTTTGTGTCATGGTCCTGGGTCGTTGACCCAGCGTTTTGTGTTTATTCTGATTTGTATTAGTTTAGGGGTTAACCTGAAGTTTGGTGTATTGTCAGCCCTACCTGTGTCTGTCCTTGGTGCTCTGTTCATGTCCCCGTGTTGTGTTGTACATCAGTCTGTTCCTGTTTTATTTTGAAGGCTCGTGTTCTGGATTTCCTGTTCTGTTCTGAAGGTCTGTGTCTGTTGTTATTGTGTTCAGCTTGTCTCCTCCGGTCCCCATGTGTATTAGGTTCAGCTGTTCTTCCCTCCTGCGTGTGATTACCTGATTACCTTGTGTGTGTATATTTAGTGGGTGTCGGTCTGTGTTCGTTGTCGGCTCGTCTGCGTTCCTCCGTGTATCTCTGCATTCATCTGTGTTTCTTGGTATCCTGGTCATTGGTCTGCGTCTCTCTGCTCCGCTCTCCGTTTTGTAAGATTTCAGGTTTGATCTTTAGTTTCTCCCAGTTTAGGTTTGTCATTACTCATGCTTCGTTGCCTGTTTTTTGCCACTGCCACCTTTGAAAATAAACGTCACTCGTATCATCAGTTTGCTGCATTTTGGGTCCTCCTTTTCCTCCACACCACACGGCTCCCTCCGCCAGCCGTGACAGTTTGGCTGTCGACATGTTTTATAGACATCACAAGCTAGAGGAGGTCTGAGTGAGAATGTGAGGACACTGCAAGCTCAGACAGCGGCAACTTGTCAACCACATGGGAACCAGGCTATAAAGTGTTCTGTTCACACCATAGTTTTCAAAGGGAACATCATGGTTTATTGAAGAAGACGTGAAACTTGTGACTGAGGATATAAACCAATCGGGCCATCCACTTTTATAGGCATTCTGACTTTTCCTTGCAGTCAGAGGAGTTCATGCTGGTTATTAGCAGAAGTGCAGGTGAACAAACTCCAACATCTTCCTTAAATTCTGATATATTTATCTACTAGCCTCCTCAGTTTGTGAGCATTTGCTTTTATAAATAAAATCACACTATTCTCATCTTTCCTGTCAGTTAATATTGTCACGGTCCGGGGCAGCGGCCGTGTGGAGAGCGGAAGGAGGACTCAAAACGCAGCACTTATTCAGGTGTGAGGGTGATTTATTGATAATATCCAATATAAAGTGGGGATGGTAAAACAGAACTAAGGATGAACTAACTGGGAGAAACTACACAAAGAAATAGCAAACCTGAGCATGAAGGGAGAACAGCAGGGAGAGCACGCAGGGGATTACACCAGGTATGAACACAGACGACACGACGAGGAGCAGAGGAAATCACACACTATAAGTACACAAAGAGACACTGGGAAATCACACACAGGTGGGGGAAACAGCTGGACCTGATTAACCTGACGAGACAGGGGAACACTA